GATTAGTGTTTATTACATTTAAAAAAAATAAACAGTGTGAAATGAAAATTCACGGTTTTATATTAAATCATCTTTTTATGTTGTGCTGTGTACATGGAAATTTTCCTTTTGTGTGTGTGTCTTTTTGTACTTAAATTCAAAATGAATAAAAAAATTTTTTAAAAAAGATTGAGTGTAGGTCCCATCTCTCACATTAAAAAAAAATCAGTGCTTAAATATGGTGATTTGAAAAGTATAATACACACACATTATAATCCCCCCAAAATACATGCCTTTAGGAAGGATTCCTTCAAAATTTGTCATTCCATAATCGAAAACTTGACAAGAGGACACTCACTTAGTAAATAAGTAGTACAAAGCATACTAATCCAATAACCTGAAACATGATTTTATCTAAAAAATAAATAAGACAATACATGTCTATTTCTAGAGATGCAAGAGAGAATAGATGGGGCGGAGCCAAGATGACGAAGTAAAAGCAGTGACTTGCTTGAGCTCTCCCCCAAACTCCTCCAAATACCTATAAAAAAAAGACTCTATAAAAAATTCTAAAGCAGCAGAACCCACAAAAAGACAAAGTGAAACAAATTTCCAGCTCAAGACAACCTGGATGGTTGATGGGAAAGGTATATCATGCCAGGCTGGGAAAGGAACACAGTTTGGCCTGGGTACGCAGGCCTCAGCCAACCTGGAGCAGGCCTCAGAGGACTGAATCACAGGCAGTTGTGGCAGTTTCCAGACTTCTCAATCCACAAATGCCAAAGACAACTTAGAAGGTCAGTAGGAAAAGTCTGTGTCTGCAGTGAGAGAGAAGTGCTGGGGTCCCAGTCTCATTCCTCAAGTGAGGCCCCAGGGTGGTGGCTGCCTCCTGAGCTTCTAGCCCACAGACTGAGGGGGAATTGAGTGGCTGATCAGATGGGGATTTTCAGGGATCTCTTTGCTGGTGCAGGATTCTCTTGCTTTGCCCATGCTTGGATCTGGGTCACAGTTCTGGGTGGTGGTTCTACTGTGAGAAGGAGCGATGGCATGGTGGAGCTTGTAGTGACTGTGGAGAGAGAATCCTCCTCACAGTTCCAAGACAGAAAAGAGGGCTTGTGGTCACTCACAGACCAAAACACAGGCCAGGAAAGGAGTAAACACCTCACCCTTGATCACAGCACCTTGGAAGAACTGAAAATTTTCAGGTCCCTAGAAGTACCTCTGAAAACAGCTGCACAAAACCCCTGAAGCTTGGGAGACTACATTCTCCACACTGGAAGCAGACCTCTACCTTAACAAAGAGTTTATAACTCAAGTAATTGGCTGGGATCATGAGCAAGCAGCACAAAAAGAAGCAGACCATAGAATCTTTCTTTGGTAACAAAGAAGATCAAAACATACAAATAGAAGAAGACAACACAGTCAAAGCTCCTACATCCAAAGCCTCCAAGAAAAATATGAATTGGTCCCAGGCCATGAAAAAGCTCAAAAAGGATTTTGAGAAGCAAGTAAGAGAAGTAGAGGAAAAACTGAGCATGATGCAAGAAAATCATGAAAAACAAGTCAGCAACTTGCTAAAGGAGACCCAAAAAAATACTCAAGAAAAAAGAGATGCAAGAGACCGTAGAAACTATCTAGTTCAATATCCTTATTTCATAGATGAAGAAATTAAGGCTCAGGAAAGGAATGTGACTTGGTCAAGACTGCAATGATAGTAGACTGAGTCTAGAACTCAGGCATCCTGATTCTTAGTCTAGTGCTTAGACAACTATATGATACATTCTAAGCCTCCAACATTTTATTTTGGAATATCTTAGGTACCAGGGGAGAGTGATAAGTACTTTTTAAAAGTTTCTACAAAATGGCCATCTAGACAGGCTTAAAAAGGTTGCTTCTTTACATCAAAATTCATATGGGTAGACAAGGAGCACTTAGAAGTTTCCTTATTAATTACTCATATAAATCCCATTTTCAGCATAGTAACCTAGGCTACAAAGAGTAGAAAAAGACAAGATGTCTTAAAATGGAATTTATGAGTGGCCAAAGACAATAAGTAAGCCAAAGATGACAGTAACTCCTAGCATCCTTTACGCACCTTCAGATTAATTTATTTGACTTATGATCCATATTTATTTCTAATTTCTTCCCCATCCATTCTGGGTTGGTTTTTTTGTTGTTGTTATTTCACATTCTCTGTGTAACACACAAGATTGTCTCATCAAGCATGAATTCACTTTCCTTCATATTATAATATTTGTGAAGTGAGCTTTGCATTCTTTTTGCGGCTTTAGTGATACCTCCTTCTGGTTTTTAAGATCATCTCTGTAGATTTCTCTGTGTGTATTTTGGACTTTGGTTGAGACTTTATTCCTCTTTAGTGTTTTAGCCTTGGTTTTTTCTTTTCTTTTTGAGCTCTTGCAGTCCCCTATCATTTACTTTCTAGTCTCTCCCCCTTTGCTGATAGATAGATTCCTAAGACTGGGCTGCAAGGCTGCCTCATTCTCCTCATGTGGAGGGATATAGGGTTTGCTGGCCTGATTCCTACTTTTTATGGGGGTTCTTTACCATAGGCCTGAGACTAGGTTAGGAAGCATCACATTTCAGCTCACCTGAATTCTCCTTTGGCCTCAGCATGATGTAGTGGATAATGGATTGGCCCTAGAGTCAGAAGACTGGATTCAAGTCCTGCCTTAGGCACTTACTGTGTAACCCTGGGCAAGTCACTTACTCTCTGTCTATTTCAGGTTTCTCAACTATAAAATGGTGAAAATAATAGCACCTACCTCGCAGGGTTGTTGTGAAAATCAAATAAAATAATAATTACAAAGTAATTAACACAATGTAAGCACTACATAAATGTTAGCTATTATCATTATTTTTGTGGTTGTTGTCTATCCCCATTGGACTGTAAACTCCTTCACAGCAAGTACTATCTTTTTTTTAAAAAAACTTGTATTTATGACCTCAGCATTTAGCATAATGTCTGGCATATAGTACATGCTTAATAAATGTTTATTGGTTTAACCACAAAATGACAATTTTTTCAGTGAATGAAACTTTAACATTGCACTAAAACTTTATAGAAGAAACCCTTCTAAAATATAGTATATATCTTCCTGTCTCTTATAAAGAGCACATATAATTCAAATCTATTTTTATGACTCTAGCTATTATGAATAAATTTACTACAAACAAATACTGGCTATCCATTGTAAATATCCTGCTCCTCCCTATTCCACACCTCCAAAGCTCTTGTTATCACCCACAATTTTATCTACAATTTGATCCTCCTTTGTACAAGTCTTGATGAAGAAATGGGCTTTTTCCTCGACAATGCTAATCCCTTTCCTATCCCACCAACCCCAAGATCATTTCCTCTTTCTTTCATCCTCAATCTTCCCTTATTGTCTGGCTCCTTTTCCAACACCTAAAAATATGACCAGGTCTCCCGAATCCTTAAAAAGCCTTCACAAGACCCTGATGTCCCCTCCAGCTCTTGTCCTGTACTCTTCTTCATTTCCCAGGGCAGGCTGTCTCCATTTTCTTACTTCCTAATCCTTTCTGCCTCCCCCCAGCCTTATCCCTAAACCCCACCCCTCAACTCATACTTAACGTATTATTAGTACAGAATCAAAAAAACCCAGAAAATTAGAGTTTGGGAGAGCAGGAATTCTAGGTAGAGGGAGCAACATGAACAAAGATATTCTATCTGCCATGCTACCACTCAACTCTATGCATGACTAACTATCACTGAAATACATACCAACTGCTAAATTCAATGATCTTTTTACATTCTTCATTTGGCTTGACCTTTCTGCAGTATTTAACACTGCAGACCTCCCCTACCTTCCCCCAATCTCCTGGATCTTCCTTCCTTGGTTTCTATGACATTACTCTCTCCTGGTTCTCCTATCTGACTGTTCCTTCTCATTTTCTTTGCTGAATCCTCCTGTCCACTAAGTATAGGTTTCCCCCTGCTCCCCCATGATTTTCTCTTGGGCCTTCTACTCCTGACTAAATGCTCTACCCTGATAGTCTTATCAGTTCCCATAGATTTAATGATCATCTCTATGCAAATGACTCCCACATCTACCTACCTATACCTAATCTCTCTCTTGAACTATATTCTCATCTTATCAACTGTCCAATGGACATTTCCATCTGGATATTCCCTGCATATCTCAATTTCAATATGTCTGAAACAGAATTCATATTTTACCCAAAGTCCATCCCTCCTTCCAAACTCCCCCATTTCTCTTGATGGTACCATCATCCTTCCAGTCACCCAGGCTCATAACTACTTGGGATCATCATTAACTCTTCCCTTTCCCTCAATACCATTTTCAAATCACTCTACAATCCTCTTGTATGTGTTCCCTTCTCTTGACAAGTCCAGGGCCTTGCCACCTCTCACCCAGACAATTGAAATAACTTCCTAAGTGTCACTTCCTCAGGGTCACACAACTAGTAAGTGTCTCAGGCTGGATTTGAACTGAGGTCTTTCTGACTCCAGACCTAGTACTATATCCACTGTGCTACCTCACTGCCCCTACCTTTGAATAGGATCTTTCATTTTCCCTGTCCTGATAAATTCTCAGGTTTTAGTTCTTACCAGATGAGTAGTGTGATTGCAGGTAGTTGAACTTAAATGTAAAAAACACATGGAAAGTTTCTGTTTTGGTCTAAACTTATGATTGTATCAGTGTGGGGAACTCCAAGCACCAATACAGACAGACAACTATAAGTAACTTATAGGTACCGAGAGGTTAAATAACTTGTCCAAGAAAAGCCTTACCGAAGAGCTATTCTTTTGCAGATCTGTAAAATAAGGCTTTTGGATTAGTTGATTCAAAGATTATGAATACTATATTCATTGTGTTTGACACATAGTAGGCACTTAATAACTTCTTGTTGCTTGATTGTGAGTTTAACAATACTCTGGTCAACTGTATGGGTTACAGTTTAATTATAACTTCTGCTTCCATATAAAAATTTTTTTATATTAAATTATTTCTACTTACCAAACCCATCAATGTCTAGATTATTATTAACAACAACTTCTAGTAGAGTATCACCAACTTTTCCTTGGGTTGTTAATTTCTCACCATCACGGTTTATAAAATGAATGGTTATTTTATCTTCTGAGCTAGAAAAAAAAACATATCTTTAGTATTCTCTAACATTGGATAAGTATTTTTAACAACGCTTTTTAAGACCTATAAGGCCAAACAAATAATAGTCTAACTAAACATCATCAAATATATGTCTGTACTTTTCATCCTTTTTCTTTCAAAGGATCACCTAGTAGGAAGGGACTGGAACAAAATACAAATGCTGCAATTTAGCAAACTTTTCATCGACCAATACTTTGTATATGTTCAACATCTATCAATAATCTCTTTACAATATGAATCAGATTAACTTAACTAAAACACAGCTACCATATTAGTAATTAAATAATGTATAGTGATCAGGAATGAGGACCTCATTCACCAAAAGTTCATCTACAACATGAGGATAACAGACATTTCCCATAATATTGCTGTAAAGAATGCTGGCAGAAAGACTTGAAATTCAATTTATTAATTGTATGACTTTGGGCAAGTTGTTTATCCCCCAGGTCTTAATTTCCTCATATGTAAAACAAAGGGGTTGAATTAAATCATATTTAAGTTCCATCCTGTTCTAAATCTGCTAATGTGAACTAATTTTGTTTTATAATAACATGCTACTGTATAACACTGGTACACCAATAGATGGTGAGTGATTTCCCTTCCATCTCTCCTATCTCCAACTTGTTTCTATGGAGTTCCCCTCTCACACACTACTTCACCAGACATCCTGCTTCCATGAAAAAATTAATGATGTTAGCCAAGGGCACATTTATATCACACTTATCGATTATAATCTATTCCAACCTCACACCTTACACTGTACTGAGCTCAGCCAAGGTACATGTCATTAAGAGAAAGAATCAAGGAATATGGCTATCTCAACAGAGAAAAACGAATTTCCCCACTATTAGAAGTTCTCTAAAATTCTATGTAGAACGAGGGAACTGGTGCTGAGGTGCATCAGTACAGTCTGGCAGCACACAGAAAACCCCGTCTGTATTCAACACTATTATTACTAAAATGGGACAGGAGCTAGAAAATGTGTTTAAGGATTATCCTGGGGTTCTAGGCCTAGTTCCCAAAGAAATCAAAGAAATAGAAGGAAAAAAACCCCACAAGTACAAAAAAAAATTTATAGCAGTTCCATTAGTTACGGAATGGCTGAACGAAATTATGGAACACAAATGCAATGGAATATTACTGTGCTATAAGGAATGATGAAAGGGATAGTTTTAGAGAATCCTGGAAAACTTTTACGCAGAATGGAGAGAGAATGAGAACAATTTATACATCATGTCATAAATACAATGTCATAAAAACAAACAATTTTCAAACACTTAAGAACTATGATTAATATGCAACCACAATTCCAAAAGTCCACTAATAAAATATGCTACTTACTTCCTGACAGAGAAATGATGGATTCAGGGTATGAAATGAGACTTTTTTTTTTTACCATGGTCAATATGGGAATTTGTTTTGCTTAACTAAGCACTTAGCACAGTGCCTAGTACATAACAGGCACTTAATAAATGCTTATTGACTGAATGACTATGTATATTTGTTACAATGTTTCTTTTTTCCAGATAGAGGAGAAGTAGGAGAGAAAATCGATTTTTTGTTCATTGAAAAACATTAAATACAACAAAATAATTAATCTGCCAGTGTTTTATCCAGAGAATTCACAATGCTATCAGTGAGTCAATGAAATACGAATGATATTTGCCCATATAATGCTCTCTATCCCCCTCCACCAAGATGGCTGGATAAATTATCCAAACATCTCAGTTTTGTTCTATCATAATTTCTGACTTCCTTAATGTTTATCTTAGACATGCAAAAAGCAGTTCATAAAATAATTCTACTGCAATTTTCACAACTGCCAATAGATGGCAACAATTGGCAATAGATGTTTTCTTTATCAGACTCCCAAAAAAAGTGACAATCACAGAATGTTGCTAGAACTGAAAAGAAAGGAATGTAGATCCTATGAGTAATCAATTCAATACACATCTATTAAGCACTCCTATATGCAGACACAAAGAAAGGCGCAACACATACTTTCAGAAATCTTGTACAGAAAAAAGGTACACAAATGATGATACCAGATTAAGTGAAATGCAAGGCAAAAGAGAAAGTTCTAGGAGAAATGTGAGGAATAAATCATTTCCACCTTTGGGATAGGGAAAGAGAGGGACTATACATTTACATGTGAAGACAAAGGCTCTAGATCCAATACTTAACTACTTTTTAGCCTTGGGCAAATCTCTCTAAACCCCAGTACCTCACTCTATTTATCTGTAATTCTTTTTTTATTCTAAACCTATGATTTTATCAGTGCCATAGGCACTCCTCAAACCAATGCAGAGACAATTAGTCTATAATTTATAGTGTTACAGTGTTACCATCTAGACTACTGAGAAGCTAAATGATTTTGACTACACATGTCACAGGTAAACACTTGAACCCTAGCCTTCCTGCTTCCATGGCTATTTACACTGCCTATCCCATCTGTACAAGAAGGAATCACTACATCATCATCACTCTACTTATTTTCCTCCAGGCTCACTCTCTAGTCTGGCTCCTTCTAAATTCAGACTGCCTTAGGCCTCTGTTTTAAGGCTGAATTAATGATTGATTGCTGTGTTCTTGTTTGGAATCACCATATCATCAGAAATCCAAATCACACTTTGGATCTCACCTGCCTAACCACACACTGGCCCCCTACTCCCTTCCTCCTCCCACCCCTTTTCTGCTATCTTTTGTGTATTGTCTTCCCTTATTAGATTTTAACCTCCCAAAGGGCAAGAAGTGTCACCAGCACTTAAAACAGTGCACCTAGCACATAGGCACTTAATAAATGCTTCCTGATTGACCTCCATCTTTCCATCTCCCTTTTATGTGTTGTGCTCCTCCAGTAGAATAGAAGCTCCTTCAGAATAGGAGTCATCTTGCTTTTTTGTGGTTGTTTCCCCCATGCTTATTAACACAGTGTGTGACACACAGAAACAATAAACACTATTTAAGAAAATAAGCTAGTTCACAATCCAAAGGTGAAGACAACATGAAAATAACTGTATAAATAAGCTATGTAGAGGGTAAATTTGAAATAATCAAGAGAGAGAAGGTATTAGAATTAAAGGGAGATCAGGAAAGGCATCCTCTGGAAGATGGGATTTTAGCTGGGACCTGAAGACAGCCAGGGAAACCAAAAGGCAGAGATAAGAAAGAAGAATACTCCACGTACAGGGGAAATGTCCAGTCAGTAGATGGAGTTATTTTGTTTTTTAGGAACAACAGCAAGGAAGCCAGAGTCACTGGATTGAAGAAATCATGGGAGTGAATAAGGTATAAGACTGGAAAGGATTGGGGTGGGTGGGATCTATGAAGGGCTTTGAACACCATATAGATTTTATACTCGATCCTGGAGGTAACAAGGAGCTACTGGAGTTTGTTGAATAAGGGAACTGACATAGTCAGATCTAGACTTTAGGAAGATCACTTTGACAGCTGAGTGGGAGATGAACTGGAGTAGGGAGAAACTTGTGACAAGCAGACCAACCAGTAGACTATTACAGCTGTGAGGTGGTAAAGGACTACACCAGGGTGGTGATGGTGTCTGAAGAAGAAGTGGGTGTACCGAAAGGATGTAATAAAGGTAAAATTAACATTAGAGATAGGAATCTGAGAAGGATAAATCAATAAGGGGCCCTGAATGCTAACATAAAGGATTTTAAACTTTATTTGGCTGTAGAGGGCTGGCTTTGGGGAGTTGGAGGACTTAGGCCAGCCTGGGTCTTAACCTGTAAATTGTACTAAACCTGACAGCTGTGAAACTCAGGATGTCTGCTCACCACCCCCCTGTTCTGTCTCTTGAAAACAGGATGCAGGAAGGGAGGAAACGGATGGGGTACAGGACAGGACACAGGAAAGAATGTAACAGACAAGGTACAAGGAAATAAGGAAACCACTTAAGTAGATTTGTACTTTTCATGAATAGCTTGATCCAGTACTATATAAGCCTGAGCCCTCAGATCAATAAACAGAGTTTGTTCTTCACTGCTCTCACCTGGCCCATGATTCTTTCTCTCTTCACACTCTGCCGGACCACAGCCCCTACGCAGGCGCTCCCGGCATTTGGCGCCTAGACAGGGACCTGAAAGGAAGGCTTCCCCCGGCAGAGTGGCCCTGGACAAGGTGGGCTATTTGGCCAACAGCCCTAGAAAAGGAGCTCCGGTGGTCAAGAGAAGACACTAACAAAGTAGGGCAATAATTTTCCCATACAGCTTTTTATTTTCACCAGGTTAAACGGGGATTAAAAAGAAACCAGAATGCCGCTTATCGGGGTCTCTTAAAGTGAAAGTGAACTTTGGAACAAGACTGCTGCTTATTGGGGTCTCTTAAAGTGAAAATGAACTTCAGAACGAGACTGCCACTTTTCGGGGTCTCAGATTTAAAGTGAAAGCAAACCGCACAGGCGGACAAATGAGACTGCGGCTTTTCAGCGTCTCCAAAAGCGAAAGTAAACTTCAGAACTAGACCACTGCTTTTTGGCTTCTCTGATTTAAATGGAAAGTAAGCAGCACCAGCTAAGTAGTGTCCTATAAGATAAGTTAGATAATATGGGGCAGAATCAGAGAGACCGACAATATTATTTGAAAGTGTTCAAATACAGGGGACACAACTAGAATTTTAGCATGCAAAGAAGAACATTGTCTTTCTTTAAATTGTCAATTGTATCTTTGTCATTTCTATTGAGAACAAACCAAGTGCCATTCTGCTACTGAAATCTCTGCATAAGATACCTGTACTGTCCAACCATTGCATTGCCAAGACTGTACTAATACCAACTTTGATTATACTAGGAAATGGCAGTGCTCAGTCTTTGTGGTGTTGCAATTTTCACATATTTGCTATTTTATTGATTATTGTTTAAAATAATAGTACTGTATGAGAACTTAATGATTATATCTTGGAATTATTTTGTATAGAAAATATACTTAGAAAAGTGGTTACCATGCTGCTGTCCTGTTCTTGTTAAAAAGACCCATGTCATAAATATTCAGGACATTGGCAGCTGATCACATTTACAAAGTCAGTGTGTAAGTGAAGTTATTACTCCCTCCATAATGCCTTATGAACAAGCAGGAGCTGTGATGTGAAGCTACATTGTATTTCCCATTTTATATATGTCTCTCTATTTGATTTTATTCAAGTTACAGTACATTCTGAAAAAGTTGGCTTTAGGTGTGTGTCAACGTGGCATGCAAAGAGTTATGATGACTTTACATTAAATGTCAGAATTTGTAGTCGTTATGATAGTGGAAATTTTTGTGGTTTTCAAGAGTCTCAAAGAAAATTGTATATTAACATTTTTTTGTCAGCCATCACATTTCCAAACAGTATTTTTAAAAAAAAAAAGGTAAATGTGATATGGCAGATGAGCAGACTAACCAAAATCAGTGGTTAAGGGGATTTCATTTTAGATCCTTTTTCATAATCAAAGAAAATGGGACATTTTATATACATATATATATACACACACACACACACACATATGTATGTATGTATATATACACATATACATATATACACATATATATGTGCATATATATATATAAAGTTTTATTGAAGTTAGAGCTAAAATAGCATACTTAATTTTATAGCTTTTGTAGATACATGTCCTTTGCAACCTTCCATTCATTTCAGATCAGTTTGTAAATCAAGAGTTCTATCTCACGGTAATTCTAGAGAAAAATAAAGTTTGTATTATTTTATTTACAACCACCATTTAGGTAACTTAAAAATTACACTGGAATTCAAAAAAGAGGAAAAATACTTAAGAAGCTAAGTTATATCAATAATTAGAAAACAAATCAGCTTGTTTTCTTAATCAGGTGGGGAGGAAACTTCAAGGGTAGCAGTAAATAAACTCTCTGCTTTAGAAATCTGACATGAGCAGTTTGTATGTTAAACACAGTCTAATGCACTGTATGTTTACTAAAATTTCCAGTAAGATGTAGCTTGTAAATTTTCTGAATCAGCTCCTTAGTACTAGTTATAATATAGCTAAAATCTTAATATATTTTGCAGTATATAAAAGGCTATAACTTCATAAGTCCTTTTTAACATATCTTTGATAGAACTTTTTGATTTAAAAAATTATTCATTCCAACTTTGTTAGAATATTAATAGCAATATTTTTAGGCTTTCATTTGTCCTGGTGGTTCTTTGGGAGGGTTTGCAAGCAAATTAAACAAGTGAAGTGGGAAAGACATTTATTTGTCTTTGAATATTCAGAAATAGTTTTTTACCCTTGCCCAACAAAACCCTCTTGAATTCAGTAGATAACTAAAGAAATTCTTTTGCTTTGCTGCAGAGTTCTACTGCCTAACTCCCCTCTTGTATTAGAAAATTCAGCATAAATTTGTCATAGCCTGGTCAGTAGTTAAAATGACATTTCAGAGTTGAAAATAATTTTTATTAATTAAACCATTAGGGAATCTTTTTTTAACTACAGACAGGAAACATAGTTATTTCTGTATTTTCTGCCAAGAAGCAGAGCCTTAAACACATTTCTATACATACCTGATTTCTTAGCTACTTAAATTTATGCTGTTTTAAACATTACTTAATCATATTTAGTTAGCTATTTTTCTACTGAACAATTACACAATGTTAGGGAGTCTTATTCTAAAATTCCTTTATTTCATATCAATGTGTGATTCATGTTTTTTAAAGTGTAATTACAACGTATGTATCAGAGTATGCACACAAAAAAGTGGGAGAAAGATGAATATCATATTGTGTGCTACAGTTACCCAAAAATAACACTCAGAGATTTTCTAGGTATAAAGTGAAAGATTTATTACATTCTCACAGGAAGCGGGCATCTGCTTCGTACGGCAGTCCGAGCGAAGCGAGGAGAGGCACGAAGGTCAGAACAAAGGTTATATAGTCCTAATACAGAGACACCCACCCACCACTGGCTGTAAATTCCCATTGGACAGGAATTTCAGCCTCACAATCTAAAACGTGAAAATCTACCCCAGAAACAAGGAATATCATTGTAATACTACCAATCCTAGCTATTTTATCCTTATTTAGCATTAGCCGTTGCCTAACACTAATGTAACAATACAGCTCATGTGTTTTCTGGGAACTTGAAACTTGGGCCTATTCAGGCTAACGGTAACCAACCTTGAGTTTGTAACAGTCTACAAAACTGTTACACTCAGTCCATCTGAGAGATCTCACACTGTTTAATTGTCTCACACTCTTTAATTGTCTCATTCAATATGAAGACAAGCAGATACTGTGGATTAGTGACATATTTTAAGAAGGACATAAGCAATATCATTTCTTGTTTTGCTTTAGTATTCTTGGCAATCCAAGACACCTCAAGACTGACAATGGTCCCACCTATAGTAGCAGGAATTTTGCACAATTCTGTCTCACCTATAATATCACTTACTCTACTGGCATCCCATACAATCATACTGGACAAGCCGTTGTTGAAAGGTGCAACAATGATATTAAAATCCTCCTTGATAAACAGAATAAAAGAGGTAATAGAAAACAGGGTAAGAAGGAGATTTGATCAGGTAATATATACCATAAATCTTTTGACAATAGATGATCAGGGACATACTCCTGCACAAAAACATTTTGCAGGACAAAAGAACAGGTTGTTAGATGAGCAACCAGATGTCACGGTAATGTGGAAGGATCCAAAGACGGGTAATTGGGATGGTCCAGTAAAATTACTAACCTGGGGTCAAGGTTATGCTTGTGTTTTTCCAGAACATGCAGAAGAACCAGTCTGGGTTCCTGAGAGGAACATCCGTACCTGTCAGCATACTGACCAGAGGGATAGAGACCCTGAACATCAAAGGAAAAACTGGTTGGAGAGACAAGCGGAGGAGGAAGGCGAGACCAAGAAGACGAAGAGCCAATAATAAGATGCTGACTGTCCTTTTTGCAATGATGACTGTCGCAGGTGGCTCCGGGATGGAGACATGATTACATTGGACTTATATGCCTTACCCCACCTTGGGTTAAACCTGTAACCTGACCACTATACTTTTGTTTGTGTAACTCCCTATTTGCTTTCTAACCAATGTAACTCCTGATCAAATACTGAATGAGCTTCAGGGCACTTGGCATTCCAAAAATATAACATGGATGGTATTGATCCTCAAGATATTGTTTATAAGCTATTGTACTATATCAAGCAACTTAACACTTTCCAGAATATTTCAAGTTTGCTGTTGCATTTCATACCCTGATAGTAGTATTGTTACTCTTGAGTTTTCTCCTGATGTGCATCCCAGCTTTGTAGAGGGCCAGCTTTGGGGAGTTGGAGGGCTTAGGCCAGCCCAGGTCTTACCTGTAGCTTGTACTAAGCCTGACAGCTGTGAAACTCAGGATGCCTGGTACTGTAATTTTAACACTGGTTTGAACTATAGGCAAAATATTCTTCCTAATGGAAGACTTCAGTTTTGGGAAATGAAAGGATTTTATTACACTATTATTTAGATGATATCACTTTTATCCATGAAAATAAAGCCTTCAAAGCCTCAAACCTCTGAAGCTCAAAACTGATTAGCTGATGAGTATTTTGGTTACTTGCCAGCTAGAGACTGAAGAAAACACCTAAGACTATCCAATTCCTTGTGAACTAACACTACAGCTACCAATCAGTCTTCTTCTGGGACTCTCCAAAATGAGAATAATAACACCTATGCTACCTAACTCATAGAGGTGCTGGGAGAAAATTGCAATTTAATTTAGCACATGCTATATAAACATGAGAATGAGCTGGGAAAGGCACATGGTGTGATGATACAGAGTGCTGCTCTTGAAAACAGGAACAGCTGCTTTCAAATCTTGCCTCTGACACTAGCTGTGTGAAGAGCATCTCCAAGTGTTACTTAAACTCTCTGTCCTCAGTCAACTCCATAAACAGACTAGATCTGTGAAAGGAATTGATAGATCTGTGGATGAAACTGAAGGGATCAATGATGCTTAACACACTAACATATGCCATTATTTCTGCCATTACTACTGACCCACCCTCATGCACATATGCTTTACCTCAGAGAAATGTTAGGGGATGACTGTTCACAAATGAGATTAAATTACAAAATCATTCACTGAACTGTTATTTTAAGGCTGAACTCCCCTACAACATTTCAATTTTTTTTTTACTTCTTTATAACAGCTTGGAAACTTTTACATATAGCAAGGTATAAATGTATAAAATTGTGATAGCTACAGAAGGAGAGTGTGAAAAAGATCTCAAAAAAAAAATTCTGGGGGGCTGCCAGCACAGGGCAAATCAATAGCATAATATGACTGGTTAAAAAAAAAAATAAGTAACTCCCTCCAGTACACACACCAAAAAAATCAAGGCGATGAATAAATCTTAGATTGAATCAAGAAAAATATGGCATACAGAGCAAGGGAAGTGATAGTCTGACTGTCCTCTCCCCTAGTCAGACTATAACTCAGCAGAATGTGCAGTTCTATGTACCACACTTTAAAGATACCTAGCATTCACATAAGCACTTTAAATTTTGCAGAGCACTTTACATACGTTCTCACTTGCTCCTCAAAAGAACCCTGTGAAGTAAGTGCCATTTATCAACCCTTACTTTACAAATGAGGGAATGAGGCTGAGTGATCAAAGTGATGTCCAGGGCCACACAGCTAGAAAGTGTCTGAGCAAGGATCTGAATTCAGGTCTTCTTGACTATACTTCCAATACTCTATCCACTGCACCATCTTACTAGCAAGTAGTTAGTTTAAGGCAGTGAGAAAAACTGGCTTCAGAGTCCTAGAAGCTAAGTTCTAATCATGGTCCTACCACTTACTACTACATGACCCTGGGGATAACTCATTTAACTTCTCTAGCTTCAGGAAAGGAGAACTCAGTGACTTTTAAGGTACCTTCCAGCTCTAAAATCAATGAAAATTTGGAGAGTGTGCAGAGAAAAATGACTAGAATGGAAAAGGGCCTTGACACCATGCCATACAAGGATCAGTGGAAGAAGCAGCAGGCTTTTAGCCTGCAGAAAATACCCTGGGTTAGGGGGAGAGCACCACAGCTGTCTGCAAGTATTTGAGGGGCTGCCATCTGTAAGCGAGATGCAAGCGATTCTGCTTAGCCCTGAAGTTAAAATGAGTGAAGAACAATTCAGGTTAGAAGTTTAAATAAATAAATAAATGAGTGAGTGCCAGGGACACCGGGGGCCAAGAGTGACCACTTGGAAGGGCCAACGGTAAAAAAAATCCCCGGCCATACCTCAGCTCCCCGAGAAGGAAGGGAACCTGCCCGACGTCTGTCTGCGGGGGCTCAGACAGCTGGGTCCCCGCAGTTCTCGGGGGCCGGCTGGTCAAAGGGCACAGGTCACAGCACCCGAGCCTTGGGCGCTCCTTCCCCACCCCCCACCCCCGCGCGGACCCGGCCAGGAAGGCGGAGGGGGGAGGGGGGAGCCTCCTGAGACCAGCCCCGAGCCCTAAGCGCTGGGGCCGCACAGAAGCGGAGCCGGCCCGGCCCCCCTCCCGGCCCGGGGCTGCGCCGGCGGCCGCTTACCTGCGCCGGCTCGGCGCCGACAAGGTGAAGCTCCGGCTAGCCCGCGGGCAGGCGGCGCTCCCCTGCAGCTGCTCCCCGGGCCGGCCCGTCCGCCCGGCTCCCCTCGGGACCCGGCGAGGAGGAGGCAGCGCCGGGACGCGGCCAGCAGGAACTTGACTGAGCCCAGAGCTGCCATGCCGCCTGAGTAACGAACCACGGCCCCGTACGCTCTCCCTCGGACCCGCCTCCTGCCGCCTCCTTCCTGGGACGCGGAGGAGCCCAAGGGCGCAGGCACGCCCACGCTACGCCGACTCCGAGCGGGGCTACGCTTCCCAGCGGGTGGCGCGAGGCCCGGCACCGCCTCTTCGCGGCCGCAGGCGGAAGGTGCGTGCGTGACTGGAGTAAGGCGATCGCAACGCCCGCCCCCTGCCCTTGGGCTATTGGGCAACGATGACGCAAAGGGCCCCGCGCCAGCCCCCGAGTGCGCGCCTAAAGGCCCTGAAGTGGCCTTCTCTTCTGGCTGGTCAAGGTTTCCCCTCTCGGCCTTTACCGCCCGTCGCGGGTGGGTAGTCTGCCCTATTTTCTTTTCCTCAGTGGCCTGTGACGGTTATCTTTGTTTTTTACGTATTCTGTAACGTATGGACAGATGGACCCGAGGGTCGGTCCTGTTTCAAATGCTGTCTAGTCACTTTACAGAACTACTTTTCTCTTAGGCAATCTAGGACCTTCAGTGTTAATGTTATTTTATTCTAAATTTAAACACAGGCCTGCAAAAGAGCATTTCCTTTGTGGAACACAAACGGGGATTATATATGAAACTATAAATCTCCTTTTCTACTGCTTCCTTTTTGTTTTAAAAATGTGTAATAAAGTCAATACTCTTTAAACACAACAGTGAAGATTGCATAGGAAGCTGTAATTCCCTATCTGATACTGCTTCCTTTTTCTTTTTTTTTTCTCAAAAATTCATCATGAAGTTCACAGTATTTAAAACTGGAAGTAACCTTGGAGGTCATCAAGTCCAGGCCCCTCATACAGATGAAAAATCAGAACCCCAAAGAATTGAAATGACTTAAGATCAAAGATAAAGAGAGAAAAGGACCTCAGAAACCATCTGTTCCAGCCCTCAGATTTTACGGATGAGGAAATTGAGGCCCAGGGAGGTTAAATGACTTGGCCATGACGTAAGAAATGAAAAGTCAGCAACGCTGGAGTTCATACTCTCGCACTTTGACTCCAAGTTCACCATTCTTTTCTTTGCACCAGAAAAAGATACATATTTAAAGTGAAAAAAAAATCGTTTCCACATACTAAAATTCCCGTTATTACTTTCCCACCCCATCTCCCTGCCAGGCCAAAACAAACAAATCTTGGAGAAGAATTGGAATGCTGACATAGTCAGATGGTACATTATGCTTGAGGAAAGATTTCAGAAGATTTCAGAAACTTCTGATGAGAGATAGGTCACATGGCTAGACAATGTAAAAGTAAATAAAATGGCATGAGGGATAGGAAACACTAAGCAACATCCCATACAAAATCACACCTTATTTTGCTGATGAAAGGGGAAAAGCATCTATTAAGTCAAGATTCATTCAACTGGGTTTCATTCAGTCTCTTCAAGGAAAGCTCTCTGGTGAGCTCAGATTTTAAATTGAACAGTATCTCCCACATCTGACCGTTTTACTATTCCCATTATCCCACTGTACACCCTTATTACCTCTCACTTGGTCTCTTGTAATAATTTTCTTTACCAGTCTCTTCATAACCACTTTTTCTCTCTCATACCCATGCTCAATCCATTCTTCATGCAGCTACCTGGATTAACCTTCCAAGGAATTAATTATTTGAAAATTATTTGACACTTCTTAAGTGCTAGGGACTGTGCTAATACAAATAAAAAGCAAATAAATACAAAATAAAAAGCAAAACAGACCCTCTCCTCAAGAAGTTCATATTCATTGGTTATGCAAATATATATATATATATATGTGTGTGTGTGTGTGTGTGTGTGTATATATATATATATATATATATATACATATATATATATATATACATATATATATATATATATATACATATATATATATATATATATATATATATATTATATATATACATATATATATGTATATATATATACATATATATATGTATATATATATATATGTATATATATATATATATATATAGGTACTACAGGGCCTCCCAGGTCAGGTCCCCAGAAAAGGCTAGCAATGTGTCCCCGCAAAGTTCTAGAAGTAACTGTTTGGGGAGTATCTTTCTATAGTACTGCCACAAGCTTCATGTATTCTCCTCAATATCAATTGCCAGTGATTATCACCCCAGTATTATTTTAGCCATTTGAAATTTCCTTGATACCACTTATAACCAGTTAATATCAATTGTCATTTACAAAAGGATATTTACTGAGAAGACAGAGCAAGACCTAAAGTATAAAAAACTCCCAAACTGGGACTGTGTACTCTCTTCTCTCACCTCATTCTGAGAGGAGTACAATCAAACTTAATGTTTACCTGATACTAAACTTAGTCCCCAGACATCGAGTTATAAGGAAGACCTGAGTTCAAATGTGACTTCAGACACAAGCTGTGTGACCCTGGGCAAGTCAATTAACCTTGTTTGCCTCAGTTTCCTCGTATGTAAAATGAGCTGGAGAAGGAAATGGCAAACCACTCTAGTATCTTTGCCAAGACTTGACTGAATAACAACAACAAACTTACCCTCCTCCAAATTCACTTCTGGGGATTCCATAATCAATGAATGAATAGTTCCCTTGCTTATGGGTCAAATAGAGTTTATATATAACCTGAGAAATAACAGAGTGTGGAAAGGACACACAAACCAGAGCTAGCACAAACTAGCTTCAAAGAACCCATTGTTAAATTTTCAGGTGCAGCATTTATACCAGGGAAACCAACAAATATTATCAATCAATATTTGATTTATTGTTTCATTGATTGTCTAGACTTAAGAAAATGTTAGAGAAAATAATAACGAAGACTCAACTTAAAAGTATGTTGTACGTATATATTTTTTTCTGGATAGTTATTAAACATTGACCAAAACACCCCTGAGGAGGGGGAGAGGGAGATACATGGTTAGACCTACATTTTTGGAAGATAGATTTGGTAGTTTTGTGGAGGATGGATTGGAGTGGAGAAAGATTCAAGGCAGAGGGACCAATTGGAAGGCTGTTGCAATAATCCATGAAAGACATGATGAGAGCCTGAGCTAGGGTGGTGATTGTGTAAGTGAGAGGGAAGGGGAGATATCTGAAAGATGCTGTAGAGAAAGAAATGATAAGATTTGGCAACTGATTGGCTATGTAGTACAAGTGAAAGTCAGGAATCAAGTATAAAACTGAGGTTTCAACCCTGGGTATAGAGGGCTGATCTTAAGAGTCTGATATGGGTTTAAGATCCAGGACAGAGTTTGACCTTTGCCCAGGCTTTTACCCTAAGGGCTCAATAATTAAGAAGCAAAGCTCTCCAATCTCTCCCAGTTAGGAGGTTCCTGAGACATTCCTTCTCACTCTTTGAACCTTAGATTTACATATTCACTCCTCTATACAGGTGCCAGGAAAAAGCCTTGGAATTTACAACTCTATCTAGGAACTCTGATAAGGAGGAAATGTATGTTATCACACCCTTAGCAGATGTTTTGGGAGTGTCTCACAGGGGAGGACTCTTTGAAGTTAGGATGGATTTTCTCTACATATTCTGTACCCTCAGAAAAATAAACTGAGTCAGTTTTTCTGCTCCGCCTGGTCCACTTCTTCATGTCTTATTTCACGCCTTTCCATTTGGTGTACTATCTGGTTGCGGGCAACAAATGGCATGTCGAACAGTGACAAAGAGTGCGAGAAACACGGTTCCCTTGGATGCTCCACAGGAAAAAAAAACCCTTGCTGGCTACTATGCCAGGACACAAGGTCCTTAAGTGGCTGGACGCTGTGGTACTAAGGTAAAGGGAACGAGGGTCATTACAGATTTCCCCTTAGCAATATTAGTGCTAAGGGGGGAGGGGGAATCACCAGGCTTACGTGGGAGATTATAAATTACAAGAAATTGATTAGAAAGTTTAGAAACAGGCTTGGTACTTAGAGCATAAGAAATAGTGTAGCTTTGGAAAGGCCCACATACATACTTTCAGTCTTAGCAGGCGCCCTTAAGATCAAAAGTATGGGTCAGGTACAAAGTGGAAAAAGAGATAGAGATTATCACCTAAGATTACTAAAGAAAATAGTGAAAGAAAGAGGTTTAGTTATTCCAAACAGTCAGCTACAGGAATTTTTAGAATGTGCAGAAAAATGCTGCCCATGGTTTCCACAAGAAGGAACAATTGATTTAGAGAAATGGGAAATTGTAGGCAAGCAACTAAGTGAATATTACAGAGAAGAGGGCCCTGGTGCATTCTCGATTGCCACCTTTTTAATGTGGAATGTGTTAAAAATATGTCTTAGGCCTCCAGAGAAAGTACTAGTAGCTAAGAAAGTGATTTAAGTAGATAAGGGGGCAGGAACAGATGAGGAAGAAGAAATGCATAAGGCCTTTGAGGAACAGTTGAGCACGGTTGAAGAGAAGGGGAAGATGTGCATTCTGTTAAACAACAGAGAAATGTGCATTCCCCTGAGCAACAGAAAGATGTGTATTTACCTTCAGTTAAACAACAGCCTGGGAGAAAGTTAAAATGTAAGGGTTTGTTAGAAAAGTCGATACAAAGGGCAGAAAGCAGAGGGGAAGAAGTGCCCATGGACTTAAAATTAGCTAGGCAAATATGTTTAAGCATGTAGGAGAGAGGAGTATGTATAGCAAGCTTAAGGAAGGTATAATTTATTTGCACAGTTTGATTAGAGGTTCTGAAAGTAAAAAAGTTTTGAAACTTTTTGAGAATTGTTAGGAAAAAATTCTCTTTCTTTTTTTGCATTCTAAAGCCCTGGCCAAAGCTTTGGGTGTAAAATTGAAAGATTATCAAAGATAAGTTGTTGGAAAATATTCTCTTCCTTTCTCTCCATTCCAACCCTGGCCAAGTTGGGGTGTGAGAGACAAAATGAGAATAGTTCTTTATGTATTGGGAACACAATCAAAAGATAATTTAGCTCATTCAAATTAGTAATATGCTTGTTTCAAATTTTAAAAATCTAGTATCGTTACAAATTGGTAAACTTTTGTATTGTTTTGTGTTATGTCAAACAATTTTCAATAATCTAGATGTTATTAAAATGTGAATTTAAAAAGACTGAATGACAGTGGGAAAGCTGTGTAAAAGCTAGCTAAATTATTTTGTCAAGTCCACTTAATCTTGCTTTGTAATGTTTTTTAACTG